TAACAAATCCCCTCTTATCTCTTATTCACGTAGACACGCTCGCGCGCGCGCGCACACACACAAACACACACACACGTGTCTCACAACCACAAGCATTGTTATTAAAGAATGCACGCACATACAGGATTATTTTATACGCGCGGTGTATGGCGTTTATTTTCTTGTTTTCTATCCTGCAAGGTTAATTATTCAGTTATTGATTTGTTCTTTATCTTAACTGTGCACTGGTTTGCTGGAAGCATGTTTGCTTATCAATCAGTTAATTTCTACTCAATTAGCCTGATGCATTTTTTTACTAAATTTCCTTTGTTCATTCATTCATTTATTCATTCATTCATTCATTTATTCACTCACTCATTTATTCCTTTATTCATTCATTCATGCTCGTTCATTCATTCATTCATTCATTCATTCATTCATTCATTCATCCACTGGTACATGCATTTTCTTTCTTCTGTTGTTCATTTGTTTTGTTTGTTTGCGCTTGTTGGAATCCATTTATGTGTTAGTAGGCTTTTAGTTTATGTATGCATATATGAATGTGTGTTGGTATATATATATTATATATATATATATATATGTGTGTTGGTATATATATATTATATATATATATATATATATATATATATGCATGTGTTTGGTGTGTGTGTGTGTTTGCTGTACTGTGCGCGTACATAAGTGTATGTATATATGTGTATGAATGAATGTGTTTACGCCTATATTTGTTTGTCGGTGAGTATATTTTAGTATATATATCATCTGTGCGTGTGTTTGTTTCCGGATGTGTGGAATGACTGTGGGAATAGGGAGAGAAAGCGAGAGAGAGAAAGAGAGAGAGGAGAGGCATTGAAGGAATTGTAAATATATCATAGTAGTAATGTATAATTGTAATAAATGTTTGGCCTAGGAAGCTGCAGAGGAACAGTTGTTAGGGATATGTCATTTTAAGTAAGGAAGGGAACATAATGAAGGGTTGGTTACTGATGTATACCATAGGTTTTACATGCCATTCATTCTAAGTCTCTTTCTTTGTATATATGTGTGTATGTGTGTATGTATGTTTGTTTGTTGGTTTGTTTATTTGTTGGTTTGTTTATTTGTTGGTTTGTTTATTTGTTGGTTTGTTTATTTGTTGGTTTGTTTGTTGCTTCGTATGTGTGCTCTTTGATTGTTTGTTTTTCTAATTTTATTTTTTTGGTTAGTTGTTTGTCTATATGTTTGTTTTTTTTGTGGCGTTTGTCACTTTGTATGTTTGTTTGCTTTATTGTGTGATGGGAAGGTTGGTTATCTGAGTGTCAATGGGTTATTTTTTTGCGTCTTTCTATTTTTTGCTGCTATAATTTCATGTAACTTTGCCTAATTTTTGTTTGTTTTTGTTTTTTTATGCCTCTTAGGATTTTCACAAGATAGTCAGTTTCGTTAAGTTTGCATTTGTATGCTTTGCCATGCTTTTTAATATCATATTATGATGCCTGTTTATACAATACACGCGCGCACACACACACACACACACACACCACACACACACACTTTGACCAACCAAATTCTGATTACTTATTATCTGCATGTTCATTTGAGTTTTGAAAATTGTATTCCCATACTCATCGCTTTTTGTTCCGTGTTGTGTATGCATCTAGATGTTTGGAGATGTCGTTTTTTGTTTTCATTTGTGAGAAATTAAAAAATTACTGATGTGATCTGTCCTGTCAAAGTTGCTATCGATTAGAGAGAGAAGTTAGGCTAAAGTTGTTTCTGCATCTTGTGACGTTAGGTGAAGCAAGGAAAATATGGTGTGTGAGAATAGTTTTACCTGAGAGAGAGAGAGAGAGAGAGAGAGAGAGAGAGAGAGAGAGAGAGAGAGAGAGAGAGAGAGATAAAGAATGATGAAAAGAGATAGAGAGAGAAGGATAAGGAAAAAAAAGAGGAAAAAAGAGAGTAGAATTGTAGAATTGTTTTATTCGGAAAGAGAAAAATTACGGGAGATTTGTTTATTACGCTTTCAAATAATTTTACTTTTTCTTTACAAATTTAGGTCTTCTTAACAATTTAATACTATTTTATTGATTCTATATATTTTGTTGATGTTAATTAGCTAATAAGACTCATAGGATCTTCATTGAATTATATTTAATTTAGAGGAACTCTTGAAATTTAATTCTTTCTGCTTAATATCACTTCATTATCTTGGTTTCGACCTCTTTAGGCTTGTAAGATTTCTGTCGGTAATTTTTTAAACAAACGAAATAAATGGAAAAATACATAGGACTTTAGTTTACTTTGCAACGATGAATATTCCACAGCGTTATATTCAAACTATTGATCCTGCTTGATCTGATTCATGGGTTCTGTTTTTTAAACAATAATAGTTTTCATGACCGCTGACTGTTACAGAATTTGATTTATAAGTTTATTGTGACAGTGTCTTCATAAGAGTCAATAAGTTACACCCCAATCTCTTTCTTTACTCTCTCTCTCTCTCTCTCTTTCTCTCTCTCTCTCTCTCTCTCTCTCTCTCTCTCTCCTTCTCTCTTTCGAAATACGAATCACTCACTATTCTTAACTTTTATTTTCACATATACATACATACAATCACACATAGAATTCTTTTTCATTCAATTTAGTTTTGCATACATGCATGCATAGGTAGGTGGGGTTATACAATACAATATGATGTATATAGCTTTCCAAATGTACTCTAGTAATTTATTCTCCTTGCAGTATGTTCTTGATGTACGTTTATCATTTCATTTGTTTGGTTTATTTGTCAGCTTGATTATTGATAATGACAAAGATTGGTAGTTGAAGTTATTTTAGAAATACCATTGTTCTCCTGTTTTTTGACATTTCTGCGTTTCAGAGCTTCTTTTTGTTACACTATTTCTACTTCTATTTCAATCCAACTGCGCTCAGAGCTTAAATTACACTTTTCTTATTCCATTAGCTAGTGATCTAACGATTAAATTATGGGTGTGATGTCTTATTAACTAAATCAACATTAATGACTCTTAATTAATTAATTGATTAATTAATTAATTAATTATGCACTTATTCACTAGAGCATACACACGTTCACGAACATTTTAATTAATACGCCTTTTTATATCTTCCATCAGTCAATGTAGTTATCGGTAAAAGTTCTGATGTATGTCTTAATTAAATCGACATTAAAACTACACACACACATAAACATACACAAACACACGTACACACATGCAGAAATACATGAAACCATCTTAAACGTGCCAGAAAATGAGAAATCAAAAACTATTTTTTTTTGTGTTTAGCTGTCCAGAGAACCTCCTCATAGATGCTATCCGAATTGCAATGCTTAATAGGATGATGTTTTAAATAATTTATTGTTAAATATAGTTTTTATAGAGCAGCGTACATACGTATGTATTTGTTTGTTGAATGTGTGTACATTATATGGGAGCCCTTGATAACTTCTTATCTACAAGAGGAGAATTTGTTTTTGTTAATCTAATTTCTACACTCGCTTCATTCAATGGTGTTTCTTTCTTTTTGTGATTTTAAACTGATACAATTTAATTGTTAGGTTTTGAGAAAATACCGGTTTTTTGTACGGTATATCTATCCTTTTTAGTTTTATTATTAATTAATTAATTAATCAATCCTTTATGGTGTTTTTAGTTAAATTGATTATTTATAAATACAATTTAATTTGTTAGGTTTTGAGAAAATACCGGTTTTTTGTACGGTATATCTATCCTTTTTAGTTTTATTATTAATTATTTAATCAATCCTTTATGGTGTTTTTAGTTAAATTGATTATTTATAAATAAATTAATTAATGTCGGTTTTGTTTGTTAAGGAAGTATAGGTAGGCAGTTATTTACATGCCGTTTGGTTTGGGATTTTAATTTGTGATCTTCTCTAAATTATTATGTACTAGCACTAATAGTAGTAATAGTAGTAGTAGTGGTAGTAGTATTAGCAGTAGTAGAAGTGATAGTAGTAGCAGTAGAAGTGGTAGTAGTAGTAGTAAGAATAGCAGTAGAAGTAGTAGTAGAAGTGGTAGTAGTAGTAGTAGTAATAGTAAAGTGGTGGTAGTATAGAAGTAAAAGTAGTAGTAGTGGTAGTAGTAGTAGAAGTAGTAGTGGTAATGGTAGTAACAGTGGTAGCACTACTAGCGACAGCAGTAGTAATATATAAATTTCATAACATACAAAATCCTTATCACACTTACACATCTTTAACTGTTCTTACGATTACAAAAACTACAACAATATCATGAATTCTTACGATTACAACAACTACAATAATATCACGAATTATGATGAAAGCAATGGCAATAACAAATAATAACAAGTTACACTAACAACGCTATAACATCAGCAAACCTAATTTTTCTGGCACTTTCTTGTTAAGTGGTTTCTATTTAGATCTTTTTCTCTTTTTTCTCTCTCTTTATTCTGAGTGACTTACTTTTTAAACTTTTAGAAAGTTTTCTTTGAAAAAAAAAGTTGCCTGTTTTATTTTGGCTGGTTGCCCTACACCACACGCCTGTACAAAGTTAATAAAGAGAGTTGATAAAAATGATATTGCATTTATTGGCTGATTTATTTATTTCATTGTTTGGCTGGTTGTTTGGTTGCTGGGTGGTTGGTTGGTTGGCTGGTTGGTTTGTTTGTTGGTTGATAGGTTGGGTGGTTGGTTGGGTGGTTGGTTGGTTTGTTAGTTGGTTTGTTTGTTAGTTGGTTGGTTTGTTGGTTGGTTATTTTTTTGCATGGTATGCTAATGAATTTTATAAATTTTTTCAAATCCAGGAACAGATACTGATACAAGAACTACGACTTCATCATCAACAGCAGCAGCAACAACAAATCAAAATCAACAGCAACAACAAAAATGTCGCAACAACAGTCGCATCGCAACAACAGCAACAACAGTCATTAAGTAACACCAATGCACAATCAATTGAAGACATAACTAGCAACAACAACAACAACATTAACAAAGTTAGCAACAACAACAACAACATGTTATTTATTCCATCAGCTGTCAACATCAGTGGTGTTGATGCGTTTCTCGGGCAACAATCTTCATCCATACATCCGTCTCATTTCAACAACAACAACAATAACAACAACAACGTCATCAACAACAACAACAATTTCATGAACAACAACGTACACGCAAGACAAAACAGTGGCGATAGTGGCCTTGGCAGTTGTTTTAGCCTCCCAAATCGATTCACCAACAACATCAACAACGCTAATAATAATAATAATAATAATAACAACAATAACAATAATAATCACAGTAATAATAATAGTAATAATAATAATAATCTGGGCAGTAAAGTGGATGATTATTTCAACATGGATGTTGTCATGGATTCTCCTCAAGGTGTGTTTTTTTGGAAGGTGATAACAATGATTATTGATGTCGGTATGGTGATGGTGATAACGGTGATAGGAAGGATGATGATGAGGACGACGATGATGATGAAGACGACGACGACGATGATGGCTCTGAAATCCTATGTAGAATGTATTACCTTGATATGGTGTCTACAGGTGTTTATAATGATCCGGATGTAAAAAGTTTGTGAGGCTGGTTACATTTTTTTTCCAGAGATAAACTAAAAGTTGCAGTTGTTTCTACTGTTTATGCTGTACTGTGGGGTGATGTCATAATGACGATGACGTCATGACATTATTATCATATTTTTATTAATATCATTATCATTATTATTATTATTATTATTATTATATAATTAATGTTGTTGTTTCTGGCAGCTGTGCTATCAGTTTTATTTAAGTTTGATGTCTTGAGTAGAGAAATGAAATAGGCTGATTTAATAGTTTATGTTCAAAAGGTTTCATGTTTTATACCCTATCTCCTCTTTCTTTCCCATCCTGTGTGCTCCTTCCTCCTATGCATGTTTAAGTGCATATACTTGTGCTGTGTGGTGTTTTGATGTTGCTTGTATGAGTTTTGCGTCCGTATTTTTTGTATTATGTGTAATGTGCTTTTCTAGTTGCTCTACCTACCTTTTTTTTGTGATTTTGTTTATACTCCGGTTGCAAGCGGGTTATACGAAGAAGATTAACATAATCGCGCATTTGCTAATCTAATACATTTGTAACTATATCCTACAATACGATGGTCGCAATTTTCAATCTTAAAAATCTTTCTGATTCAAACAAACACAATTTGAAAGGTTCATCTTACAGTAAACTTAGCAGCTTTCAATACTTACAGGCTTTTGTCCTTATTGTTTTTATATAATTTAATCACTATGATACATGCAAATGGAAACTCCAAATTCAATCACAATGATACATGCAGATGGAAAATCCAAATGTAGCGGCAAACGTACGTGCTTTGTTTATCATTCTTAAACCACAACAAAGTTGGTTGTTTAATTGGGTTATTCATTCTTTTAAAATGTTGTCTACCGGCTGGTTACTGCTCTCATAGATCTGGGATTGATGCGAATGACACGTTTACTGCTGCGAAAAAATGACACGTCAAGTTATCCAAAGATGTGGTTTCATGCAGTTTTCCCACAGAGGATTGACTACAAGGATGGATCGCTGTATCGCAATCACGGATATATCTCGATATATCCGTGATTGTATCCATCTTTGATGTCTCGATTTGCAATCGCATCATTCGTCAAGCCGCTAAAATAATGCCATTAAAAGTGTTTTTCTAAGTAATTTTTATGGAAAAATTAATAATTGCAGTAGTGATGAAAGCAAATAATGATATTATTATTATTATTATTATTACTATTACTATTATTATTATTTTTATTATTATTATTATTAAATCACAATGATATATTAATAATAACGTTGTGACGATAATATAATAATGATAATAATAATAATAATAATAATAATAATAATAATAATAATAATAATAATGACAATATAATATAATTTCAACATTAACAACAATTATGGAGTTATTTTGACGGTAGGTGATGTAATAATTTTTATTATTTTTTCCTTTTATCAGCCAATGATGAAGTAAAAAAATAGAAGAAATTAATAGATCTCAATCTAATGGTCTGAATCATATGGTGAATGCTAGCCAACATCTTAATAATATTTTTCTTTATTATTATTATTATTATTATTATTTATTATTATCATTATTATTATTATTTATTACTGTTATTGTTATTATTAACTTTTGTTTTTTAATATTTTATAGCAGTGTTATTAATCTCGTTATGGTATGTATCTGTTTTACTAGGTAGTGATACTAGATGTTGATTGGTTGCTGCAGTAGTAATTATGTACTAGAGTACTACTGTGCAAAAAAGTACTACAGTAATTCGGCGAGCTAGCTTAGTCGGTTGAAATACCGTTATAAGTTATTACAAGTACAGGATGAATGACACGTGAGTGAGTAGGAACTGCATAATGTGAACGAAAAAAGTACGGTGATGCTTGATATACTGAAAATGTGTGTGTGTGTGTGTGTGTGTGCGTGCGTGCGCATATATATGTGTGTGTGTATATATATTTTGATTGACTGAGGTCTTTGTACTATTATTGGCCTATTGTAATTCATTAACAGTTTGTTTGCAAATATGGCATTTTAATTTATAAATTTATTGCGGTAATTTCAAGAACAAAAACTGCCTGGTTTAGTTAGATGCGTGTTACAAAAAATTAGTTCGTGGTTTTAGAAATGTTTCCTGTATTAATTTTCCTCCTTCTTTCGTTTTGCTTCTTATTTACAAACATCCTATCAATGGCATATTTATATCTACCATCTCAAACTCAAAATGACATCATTATTATTATTATTATAAGGAATGATTTACATGTCTGCTGTTTTGACACAAATGATTCTATCAAGTGTTTTTGGTCTGTCTGACTGTCTGTCTGTTTGTCTTTCTGTCTGTTTGTCTGTCTGTCTGTTTGTCTGTCTGTCTGTTTGTCTGTCTGTCTGTCTGTCTGTATGTCTAGATATAACAAAATATAAACAAATAAAAAAGTCTGTTTCTTGTGTGGTTCATTTCTTCCATATAACCACAGCTATTCTTCAATTACAATGCACAGACATAGTTCATAATTCATGCCCTGGATGTTACTCTTGTCATCTTACGCTTACGCAATTCAATATTCTTTCTTACCATATTTATTAATAATTTTTTAGAATCCGCTGTTAAACTAGTTATGCTTTGCGAATTTCTGATTTTGACAAATTAGGAAATCTTGTCCTATAAATGTATTAAGCGTGGCAAGATGCAAATAGCTGATTTGGTGAAGTGATTAGGAAATGATGATATAAATAGATTTACGATTAGCGTTCGGATATATGGATATATTCAGTCGTTATCACCACTGTTGTGATCGTCATCATTGTTTTATAATCAGATCTGATAGTCTCAATCGAACTGGTCACCAGATCTGCTGGTAGAGGCAGAGAATGGCAGAGAAAGAGAGAGAGGGGAGAGCGAGAAAAGAAAGAGAGAGAGAGAGAGAGAGAGAGATGTAATAAATATTAACTAAAACAAACAGTTAATGAATAAAAAGCGATGTTTACATTGGTTAGTTAATAAGTTCGTGGTTGATATGATGGGTGTCTGACTAAGGTGCCTCATCATATTGTTATGCTCTGTTTCTTTATGCTCAGATGTGCTCCTCTCAGTGTTGGTTTATACCAAATGTTTGATTTATTTCTGGTTTTATGACTATGTTTGTACAGGTGATTATCACTATTTTATGTTCATTTGTACTTTTGGATGCTAAACAAACAATCATTAATGTTATAAGTCAGTTTAGAGTGGTGGTTGTTAGTTGATCGAATCATAATCTTTGTTATCATATATCATCATCTTTGTTATCATGTATCATCATCCTTGGCATCATATATCATTATTCTTGGTATCTTATATCATCATCATTGGTATCATATATCATCATCATTGGTATGATGGTCATTAAAAAGTTTCCAAGCAAAGCCAGGTAAATCTTGTTATTCCTTATAAACCTCTTTCTACATTTGAATAATTGCGTAACAAACCGGGCCCAATACATAGGCGGACAATCAGTTTATGAATGTATCTACACTGTATATACTCATGTATGTGAGTATAGCGAGACGTCTAGATATACACATATAAGTATATCGAAACGTCTCGGTATTCTCATATAAGTATTAATATATGGGTAGGTAGACATCTTGATATACTTATATAAGTTATACGGATGTGTCCATGATTCAATCACATCCAATACTCTTCCTCTTGATCTTATTCATTCCAAACATCAGTCCAATTCTGCCTTCTAACAATAATGTTGATTATCTTTATGACGACGACGATGATGATGATAATGACGATGTTGATAGTGATGACGATGATGATGATGAAGACGATCTTGATAATGATTACGAAATTGATGAGAGATATAGTGAGAATAAAGTTTATTTAAATGATGACCATGATGAGGCTGAGGCCAGTTAGTGATGATGATGATGATGAAGGTGGTAAGGATGACGATGATGAAGATGATGATGAAGATGGATGAGGAAGGTAATGATGATAGTACGGTGGCATAAATAATGCTAAAGAAGCAGCAACTGTTACAAATAATGATTTTCCCATTTTTTATAGCCACTCAAACTCTGCTCTATTCATACTCTAGTCCTAACTCTAATGTGTGTCAGTTAAGTCAGATGTCTTAGTTAGAAATGTGTTAGGTCAGAGCAGCAAGTTATAATTAACTTAATGAATATATATTGACGATAATCAAATGTGTATTTGTGTGTGTGTGCGTTTGTGTGGTGTGTGTGTGTGTTTGTGTGTGTGCGTGTGTGTGTGTGAGTGTAGAGTTCTGGAGAGGAAGAGAAAGAAAAATTATTTATTACCAACTATATAATAATTGTAGCAATTGAATGTATGTGAGTTTAATTAAAATGAGTCAAAGAAAAAAGCATTAACACCATGTAAAAAAAATTCATTTATTTAAAATGGTTTGTCTTTTGAGAGGGTTCAGTTTGAAAAATTACTTTTTGTCTATTTTTTACTTCTTATTACTGATATTATTTATTTATTTTTTATTATTATTTGTTATTATTTTAATTACTATTTATTATTATTATTATTATTTTTGGCATTAATTGCGGTTTGACTATAATTATTTTTAATACTGATAGTGTTTTTATGATTAAAAATTTGAAATAGAAGATAAAATTCGAGTAGTATTAATGTTTACTTTTTCAAGATCATCCTTTCAAAAAAGTTTGTTTGCGTGCGTGTGTGTGCGCGCGTGCGTGCGTGTGTGTGTGTGCGTATTTTATGAAGTGGTTTTTTCCGATTTTATCAAGGTATGGTTTAGTGAATATTAATTTTAAAAAATAACTCAACTAACCTGGGGAACAATTTCACTCCTATTTGGTAATGCACCGTTTCTTTGTTTGTCTCTATGCCTATCTGCTCGTTTTTTGTCTCTCTGTTTGTCTCTGTCTCTCTGTTTGTCTCTGTCTGTTTTTGGGGTTTTCGGTAATATTTGTTCATCATTTGATTGAGCTAATATTAAACAGTTACGGTAATGATGGTGTTGGTGTCAACCGTGATGATGATTAGCGATGTGATGACCACAACGATGATGATGGTTGATGATGATCTTATCATCGATGATGATGATGATGTTGGTGGAAATTATGTCTACTAGGATACATATTAATTATAATATAATTTATCCTTAACAATTTTTGTCATTCTACAATTTTACGAGAATACCTTCTCAAATTCTATCAAAAAATTTTTGTGTGTATTGTGTGTGTGTGTGTGTGTGTGTGTGTGTGTGTGTGTGTGTGTGTGTGTGTGTGTGTGTGTGTGTGTGTGTGTGTGGATGTGTTTGTGTTGAAAATAGATTTCACACAAAGTTACAATCGCAAACTCAACTGTTAAATTAATCTACCACGACGACAGACCTGCACGCGCAACTACCAATGCACCAACAGCAGCAACAACAACTACAGTCCCTTGCAACATCAGATCTCAACAACAACAATATCAGTAACAATGATCTTCTGCTGGCCGATCTCCCCGCCATACTCGATCCGGATCAAGTCATAATGGAGAGCGATGAACTCGTCTCATCACTCAATGTTTGTCCTGTTATTTCTCCATCATTCATCATTCATTCGCATATTGATCATTTACTACCACTGGCCAATCATTCATCATCCAACAATTTTTTCATCCCAGATCAGTCCGACATCATCCACAAATGTTTTCATCCCAAACCAATCCAACATCCATCAATTTATTTTCATCCCAAACCAATCCAACATCCATCAATAATTTCACCTCTATTCTATCCGAACTTTGCTAATATTAATATCACTTATCAATCCATTTTCGCCACTAATTTATCCAAACTTCACCAATTACATTAACGCCACTGACCAATCCAACAGGATGACATGAGTCATGACCTCATGGGAATGGATATGCACATGATCGACACATTCTTATGAGATGGACGGACTCCTTCAGACGAATGAAAGAAAGAAAGAATAAAGAACAGATGGGTGGATGGATATATTGATGGATATCTCAGTCGGATATATAGATACATATACTGATTGTGTTGGTTTAATG